GAAACAGATTTCCACTCCCTTTGGGTAGGAGAGGGATTGAGCCTCGGGCTGCTGTGTGTGGTGTGAAGGCTGCCACAGCAGCTGAGGTGCTGCACAGACTGGGGTAGTCCTGGAAAGGGATGTTTCTTATGCAGAACCTGGCCTGCTCAATCAAGGTAATTTTTGTGACAGATTCCATTCTCAGTCCAGCTGGAGTTAGTCCAGATAAGCCCTGGAACCATATCACAGAACCATAGAATGGTTTGGGTTAGAAGGGACCTCACAGGGCATGTCCTTCCAAGCTTCTCCATGGTCAGGGATGTCACCCACTAGACCACATTGCTCAAATCCAGCTTTGCCTTGAATGCTTCCAGGAGTGAGACATCCACGACTCTGAGCAACCATTCCAGTGCCTCACCACCCTCACAGTAAACATTTCTTCTTACTAGCTAGCCTAAACCTGCCCTCCTACAGCTTAAAGCCCTCTTGCCCCTGTGAAAGGTCCCTCTCGAGCTTTCCCCTTTAGGTACTGGAAAGCTGCTGGGTCTCCCTGGAGTCTTTTCCAGGCTGAGCAGCTCCAGCTCTTTCAGTCTGTGTTCATGGGAGAGGTGCTCCAGCTCTCTGATCATCTTCATGGCCTCCTCTGGATTCACTCCAGCAGGTCCACATCCTTCTGATGTTGGGGACCCCAGGGCTGGATGCTGCACTCTGGGTGGGTCTCACCAGAGGGGAGCAGAGGAGCAGAGCCCCCTACCCTGACCAGCTGCCCACAGGGCTTTGGATGCAGCCCAGGACATGGATTGTTTTCTGGGCTGCAAGTGCACATTGCCAAGACAATGTTGAGCTTCTTGTCCACCAATGCCCCCAAGGAAGAGCTACCTTCTGCTCTCCTCCAAGAGCTCCTGTATTTTTTATTAGTGTTCTCACTCTTGAAGCAACAGCTGACAGCCAAACCTCACACCTGGGCAGAGCTGGCACACTGCTGGCTACACATCAGCTAAAAACAAAAACAAAACAGAAAATAAGAACAGTTTCATGCACAGCTCTCTGTTGGCCCTGGGCAGAGCAATACCTTATTCTTAAAATTAGTTCAGCATTTCCCATGGCTGAAGCAGCCACTGCCCACTACTCTCTAGGATGAGGAAACATCTTCCATGTGACACATGATTTATGCAGTGACCAACAGGTTTAAAACCTTGTTTTATTTAAACCAGTTTATGTTACAAGGCAGCTAAGTCTCTTCCCTTCTTTGAAGTGAAAGCAATGCTGGCCAAAAAAAGCCTTTTATTGCAGGGTTACCAGAGAGCAAAAGGAGGGCAGCACAAAGTTTGCAAGCATCCACTTTTGTCATCAGCTTATGAGACGTGCAAACACAGTACTGCAAAGTTGTTAATTTGTTTCAAAGACAACTAAAAAAATTGATGAGCAGCATTGTTTTCACTTTCTACTGTACAAAGGCTAAAAAAAGAGGGCTGGTTTTCTACTGCTTAACACAGCACTTAGAGCTCAGCACAGCACTGAGGCTGAGCAGAAATGCTGAACCAGATCTGAAATCATGATCAGAAACACATTGCACCTGAAGGATTTGAGTTTGGTGGTTTAGGAATCATATAATTGAGCTGTAAATATACTTTCATTTCACATGACCTGTCAGAACCAATTTTTTGTTACTCAGGCCTTGAAACCACACCAGGATGGATCTTTCCCTTCAAGGCTGTGCCCTTCCAGCTGAGGTGCTCTGCAGGTAAGTGGAAGTCCCAAGCTCTGGACTTTCTGGGTCAGCTGTCCAGACAGCAGCAACCTCATTTAGGGACTCCAATCAATTGTACCTAAAAATATAGGTCACAAGGCAGGATGCCCTGCACCACCAGCTGCCACAGGCACACAAGTGCCCTTTTATTATCCCACTGGGACCATGGTAAATCATTTAACTTGTGAGAAGGCTGACACCAAGCCAGTCTTTTGTTAATCTGTGTGTTTTTTGATGGAAAACTTTATATGAGAATTGAAGTCAAAACTACTGCCATGAAGTGAAAACACTATTTTATTTTTATAAAAGGCAATAATTAAAACAAACCCTACCAGTGTGTACATTGTACACATTTGAATGACACTTACAAGAATGAAGTCTCCATATACAGGGATTACAAGCCCACACTGGTAAAGGATGCAACACAAGCACATACTGAACTTCACAGATGCCTCAGCTCCAGAACACAGTACCATTACTCTATAATCACACCTGCACTGTCTTTATTAGCATCCACACTACTTTATTCCACTACAAACTGTACATAGACAGAAAGCAAGAAGTTTATTCAGAGAGCACATATATTCGCAGAAAACATTTATTCGCTGGAATAATCTCTCACTCTTCTGCTGCCATCTTCAAGAGATACTTCTTGTCAATCTTGAAGAGCCTCCAGCCCTCCTCGGTGGACAGATCCGAGGCGCCCCTTCTCTTGTAGAACCTGATGGAGGGTTCATTCCACTCGGCCACGAGGAAGTGCATGCTGCTGCAGCGGCACTTCACAGCCACCTGCAAACCAATGCCACACGGTCACAGCGCCCAGGGACAGCCCCAGTGACAACCAGCCACATTACTCACAACTGCACACCACCACAAGTCACTGAGTTCATGCCAGCAGCCACTGCAGCATTTCTCACAGTTTACCAGACTCTAGGCAACGTGTTAAGCTGTCTAGAGTCCTGCCACCTCCTTTAGTTCTTGTTTAGACTTAGCACTTAGACATACCTGACTCAAGTTCTTCAGAATTTCTGACCCAATACCAAGTCCTAAAAAAACCAAAAACAAGAAGCTTAAGTTTTAAATTTACAGAAGCCCTATGGGTAGTAATTAATCTAATTCTGCAATAGGTACCTCTGTACTCAGCCATCACATAAAAATCTTCAAGGTACAGCAGTTTTCCAATCCATGGATCATAAGTGAAGTAATACATGGCAAAGCCCACAACGCATGTTTCTGAAACAAAGCATGTAACTTCAGCCAGACAGAATTTACAAGGTAAAAATACTAACTTTTACATGCATGTTTAAACATACAGATTCTCTGAGACATGCAGACATTTGATACTAGGTTACAATTAAAAATAAAGTTTGCAAATAAGCACACAATTGAAAACACAAGTTCTGACAAATTTGTATCAGCCTAACAAAAAAAAAAGATTACTCTGTTCATACCCTGAAATCCTCAAAAGCACTGTCATAGTAAGTGCAAACATGGCCTTTTTCTACAAAATAATGCACACCCTACTGATTAATTTCCAGTCTGGAAGACAAGTAAATACTTTACACAGCAGCTCACAATCTAGATGATTGCCCCAGCTCTTCTCCCTTAGGAATCATCTGTCAAACCCTGATCTTTCCATGTATATTCCTCAGTAACTACTGTGCCAGAAGGCCTATTTACAGGCCACCTTTACAGCAGCATTTCAAGCGCTTCCACTTATGCTTCCACTGAGCATCACGCTGTTTTCTTTACCTTCAGCACCAGGAAGTCAAGATAAGTAAAGTTGCAGCTTCAATTTTAACTCTGTGGCTCAAGAGAGAAGAGAAACCAACTCTTCCAACAAGCGCCCACTTGGACATAAACCCTGAGTATTTTAACTACATCTGCCATAACACTCTGCACATACTCTAAGAGAAGCGTGCAAACAGGTTTCTGCCATCTACTGTGTCTTTGGTAAAGGTTTGGGAATAGCACTTGTCCCTGTAGGCCTTACCTCATATTATGATCATCTACTTTATTGTGTAACGGATCTTTTAGTTACCTCCCCGCCCATCCATGTACACAGAAGGGCCATGTACATGGCGAAGCTAGAGACTGTAACCTGAAGATTGGGGACAAATTAAAGAAAAAAATGTGATTCAACAGAATTACATAAAGGTAAGTCAGGGTCAAACAAGAAAAGCCATTTAATAATCGGAGTCAAGCACATTATGTTATACCTGATCTCCCATGCTTCCAGGATTAGCAACCACTTCAGCAGAGTATCACTATACATTATTGAATTTTAGCAGTTAACCTAGTCCTCCTACCCCAGTCCACTGGTGGAACATCATCTACAATCATTAATATTAAGCAAATGATGCTTGTGTATTTAGCGTCCAAAAGTAAGTATCAGGAAGCCTCACCTTCAGACGACCACTGGTCTTTAGGCACTTCTGCAACCAGACAGTGGTAGAAAGGGTGCTCGCCAAAACCATCCTCAAGCAGCTCTAGAAAAGCAGAATACACAGGCACCTGAGCCACAGGCGCTATCATTCGGCCGCCAGCCGGGTGGCCTCACTCCTGCACCCTCCCTACCTTTCTCAGTTAGCACCACCTGGTCCTCCATGTCCTCGTATTTCGCCAGTTCCTGGAAGAGAAGGAGGATGTGAGCGGCCTCTCCCCACCCCCCGTCCCTTCCGCAACAGCTCATTTTGTTTTGTTCCGGCACCGGGCAGCGCTGCCCCCCCGCCCCGCCGCGCATCCCGCCCGCACCTTGATCAGTCGCAGCAGCTCGGGACAGTCCTCGGGACGCGCGGCGCGGATGCTGAACGAGGCCATTTTCGGCGACGCTTCCCCCTGCGGCCCCCTCGGCTGACGAGTCCCCGGTGTGTGAACAGGAGGAGCAGCTGTTTCTTCATTCGTGTCCCGGGCGCGGCGGCCACCTGCGGTCAGTCAGGCTGCGAGCATGTCCCGGCGGCGTTCGGCTGCTGGCGGTCCCGGTTCTCTACCGCTGCTTCCCCGGCTCGGAGAGTGCGAGCCCGACTTTCGGCCGCCGCATTTAAAGACGTTCTCGCCCCGCCTTCCCCGCCACCAGCCAATAGGAGAGCCCGCGGTGCTCGCCCTCAGCCAATGGCCGCGCCCCTCTCCGGAATGCTGCCCGGGCCTGCCAGCAACAGCTGCGGCCGTCTCGTGACTCGCCCTCCCCCCATCCCTCCTCGGCGCGCGGCGCCCCCTGGCGAGGCTGGGCGGCGGCGCAGGCGAGACCCTGGCGGCTCTCCCTGGGCGGCGGGACCGGTCCTCGGGCCCCCCGGCACCGCCGGCCCTGCTTCTCCCGATACCGCCGGCCCTGCTTCTCCCGGCACCGGCAGCCGCGGGACCCCGGGAACCGAGCCCGACAGTGCCCTCAGCTCAGGGCTCTCCCTGCGTGGGCGCCGTGTAAGGGCCGTGGCGCCGCCCTGGCTGCAGAGCGCGGGGCGGATTTGGGGCAGTTCGTGCACCGCTGTGGGGAGAGAGGGAAAAGAGCCTCGGTGTTTGCGGGAGACGCGGAGCAGCGATCCGCATCCAAGCCGGGGCGCGGGGTAGCGTGTTTAGCACCCAGGTACGCCCCCGGGTAGGAGCGGCCTTACGGAGAAAGGTTCCAACCACTGCAGTTTAACCTTGGGACTGGGACGTTTCCCAGGCTGGAAACCGTCCCACCGTAACCCGCCTGACTGGAGGGGAAGGGGCTGGGCTAGGAGAAGCGCAAAGGAGTGGGTTTAAAGCAGGGGGATCTGCCAGGACTCTGCCGTAAGGGAGGCTCCGACGCCATCCCACTGGAGGTATGGATGTCACTGAGGAGAGAAGTGGGCGTGATGAGGAAAATTCCATCTGAGTAGACTCAACAACATGACTTTGGAGTATGAGAGGATGGAGGAATTATCCTGAGCCCTGTGCTACCTCTGGATATTACCTAGAGATACTTCTGGATGCTGAGGAATGAGCTGGATCATGATATCAATGACCGTGGGGTCCGTGGACCTCCAGCTGGGCCACGCAGAGAAGTGCAGCTCTTTGCAATATGTGTGGTTTTCTTTTCACCCTCTTCTATTAGCTGTGCCACTGTCATGTACATTCTTAGATATTGTTAAGGAGCTCTTTATCTTTAATTTAGCTTAATTTGTCTTGTTTTAAGAGTGGTTTGGGATATGGGAAGACACTAAGTTAAGTCATGCAGTGACACTCACAACACACCCCCATTTTTTCATGTATCCAGCAAGCTACAAGGCTGGCCCTCACTTAGACAGAGGGACCAGCATGGAACATGATACTGCAAGAGGATTGTATAAAGAAGTGTGTATAAAGTGTGTGTTCGGGTGGCTGGTGTTAGCACACAGTGGAAAGTGCCTGAAGGCCTGGGAGAGTAATTTAGCATTTATGCAAACACTCTAACTGGCTTGCTTTACCCTCTACTGGAGCAAGAACAGAGATGCCCAAAGAACAGAAGTGTTTCCATATCACTAAGCAATCACCAGTGGCTAGTTAAAATTTATTTCATGGGTTAAAAGTTAAAATTTATTTCATGAGTGAGTCTGGAACTCCCTCAGGACAAGGTGTTTAGTAGGGAGACTCAATCTGAATAAACTACCAAAGAACAGACTCAGCTTATTTAAGGAATACAGATATTTTCATTCCCTAGAAATGATTAGACTGGAATCAGAAATCGGAAATACTGTTTCTGTGAGAGACAACAGCCTTTGTGTTGTCTCAACTCTCTTTGTTTTGCATTTCACAATGAGGAAGTCACACTATCAGGAAACCTACTGCTGTGTAAGAACGCAAAGTGCCTGGTTTCTTTCTTCTCAAGTCAGAAAAGTCACATGATTTAGAAGCTGAAGTCTCAGCAAAAAAAGACCCAAATATTTTCTCCCTTGACTGTTTTTGAAAGTCCTGCTTTAATTTGCTCAGAAATATGCTGATATTGTGTTGCTCAAGATAATACAGTTAATTTGATTTAGCTTTCAAATTCACAAGGCAGAAGGAAAAAATATTAAAAAAATTTCATGATGTGTCAAAAAGTTTCATTAAACAATAGGAAATGCATAGAATTTAGTGAAAAAAAAGAAAATTAAAAATAGCTAATTAAGGTATCTAGATCTCAGAGACTATAGTACAATTACTTAGTTATTTATTATTAGGGGAATTTTCCCAGAATAAGTAAGTTTAATAAGAATGGTAAGAATATTTTACAAAAAGGTTCCCAAAGAACTCAGTTTGTGAATTAATCAGACTGATTGGGCATGTGTTTTACAGCTTCTTCCTTTTGTCTCTGGTCTGTTTATCTTTGAGCAGGTTTCATGTCATCTTGACATAGCTGAGGCCAATGATGAAATCTTTAATGACCTGCACAGGGCTTGGATTTTATCCTTCAGTGATCACAGCCTGCTATCTGCCCTTCTCTCCAAGGAGTGAGTAGTGGCAAGTCTCCTGAAAAGGATCAACATTTTTTTAAATTGTTCAAATATGTGTGCTGGCAGGTGGCTAGCAAATGTGTTTAAGGTAAACCAATGTGGAAATAATCTGTTATAATGAAATATGCATTGAAGTCTGGGTTAGCTCTTCTGTACCAGCCAGCAGCTGCTTCCATGCAGAACCTGCTGACTGTGAATCCATCTGCATTTCCAAGAGGGTTGGACTTTGGTGTTTGAGATGATAAAATAGTTAGAACTATCTGAAATGTGCATAATTCCTATTATTCTTACTGTGTCTTTTCCCTAAATATTACTCATAAGAGAAACAGAAAAATGTGTGCAAAATAGCAAGTAGCACTTTCTTTTTTAGCATGCAACAGGAACTTTTATAAACAGCTGTTAATAAAAGTACAGGGAGTGTTATGTGGTGACTGAGGCCAGTTCTCCCCACATCCTGCCTGGAGATGGAGGGCTTTTCTAGTCTGAAGATACAGGAAACAGCCAAGCCAGTCCCCCCAGATCCTTTCACAGCAATGCAACTGAACAATTTATTCAGAGAGTTATGGGACCCCATCTGCACTTGTATCAAAAGCATGTTTTTATTTGCATCTAAATTTTCTAATGGTCTCTTTCCTTGGAGGATGGACAGAAATGCTCAAAGCAGGAACCAGCTTTCTTTCTTTACTGTTCAACTAATCAAACTCTCTTCCCCTGCTTCTAATTTTTGATTTCCTCCTTTGCTAGGAAGATTCCTTGCATTCCTGTATGGATGCCTCTCTCATGCCTCAGAGGTTCTCTGTAATAAATAAGAGGAGAAGGAGAAAAACTCCTTGTTCCACATTAAAATGTAGTGAGTTAATGATTTTAGATTGTGCTAATAAATTTTTTCCAAGTATTTCAATCCAAGTTGTATGTCCTGCCAAATCTCTGGAGCAACATACAGAAAGTGCAGTTAATATTCAGTATTGACCTGTAATTTTTCATGATTTTGGACATTTGGGATTCTCTTATCATTTTCCACTGGTCGTTTTTTTCCTAATCCTTAGACCTTGTGTTGATATTTATGAGTTCACAATTACTTCTGATGTTTTATTCAAGCCATTTAAAATTAAAGTTTATCAGCACTAAGCTGTACATGGAAAAAAAATCTGTCAGAATAGTACAAATACTAAATAAATACTGCATGAGCAATGCTCAGAATTCAGGGCAAATGCAAAATTAACAGTTTCATGTGATAAAGCTACATGAATTTTCATATGCTGGCAATAAAAGGACCATAATTTTTCTTCATTATCTTTGAAAACATATTTTAGATCATTAGACCCTATTTCTGTAGGTTAATACATCTTATCTGCCATTTGTAATTATGGAATTTGGGATTTAGACATAACTAATTATCTGCCTGAATCCAAAAATCATCTATGCCATGTACAAATTATTTGGGGTATAAAAGTTATAGAAATAAATGTTGGGAAAGAATCCAGCCAGGCCTCAGTTCTGGATAGAGTAGAAGTATTGTATCTGGATACAGTAGAAGTCCCTTTGGCTCTGATCCTGCAGTGTACTTAAATCAGGGGGAAATATCTCAGGCTTTAAAAAGAAACCTATGACATCTATTTTTTTCCTTATAACTAAGGGAGGGTTGCACAATGAGGAGGTGTTTTTATTATGTATCACAGTCACAGTTTTGTCTTTGGCACAGTTTTCTGCACTGCCTAGAGGTGATTCTTTCATGGCAGCTTGATTTTTGACCTTTCAGCATGCATGCATACCAGGCTTCCACATTTTTTTTTCCCACGACCAGATGAGTGAGAAGCTTTGCAACAGCGCCCTCAGCTTTTTCACGGAATCACAGAATGGTTTCAGTCGGAAGGGACTTTAAAGACCATTTAGTTTTCAGGTGTTACCCTTCCATGTAATGAATACTCTGGTTAATGTACTTTGTGTTTGCCAGAACATGTTTTCTCATATCCTCCTCCAGTCTCGCTGGTCATTTGCTAAGTCTTCAGCAAGGTGTGCTTAGCACCTTCATTGCTGCATGCACTGTTCTGCTGGCAAGCTGAAATGGCCAGGGAGAACCACAAACATTGTGGCTGGTGTGGAAGCCACGGGCTGCACGGACACGTGTATAGATCCCAGTCCTGGGGAGGTGCAGCCAGGATGATGGAACTGCTCTGGTCCTTATGGGCTCTGGGGTGTCATGGCCCAGAGCCAGGGCTGCCCCTCTCACACACCCCAGTGCAGGCCCCGTGTCATCGCTGCTCTGAGTTTCTCCAGCTCCCAGGAATAAAAAAAAAAATCTGATTAATTGAACTTGTTGATTATTTGCCAGTGCAAAGCACACAGCTTATTTAACACAGTTCTAGTTTCACAAAATCAATTAGGTTGGAAAAGACCTGAGATTATCGAGTCCAACCTGTGACCACACACGAACGTGTCAACCAGATCACGGCACTGAGTGCCACACCCAGTCTTTTTCTTAAACACTTCTAGGGACGGTGACTCCAGCAACCTCCCTGGGCAGTTCATTCCAAAGTCTAACCACCCTTTCCGTGAAGAAATTGCTCTGCCTACTGTCCAACCTAAATCTCCCCTGGTGCAGGATAAGACTATGTCCTCTCGCCCTGTTGCTGGTTGCCTGGGAGAAGAGGTTGACCCCCACCTGGCTACACCCTCCTTTCAGGGAATTGCACAGAGTTAATAACGTCACTCTTCAAGATTTTAAACCTCTTCTCCTTAGGAAATTCCGAGCCTCTCAGTTACCTTCCCTAGCAGTGCCACCAAGTGACGGGCCGGGGCAGGAGGCCGTGTTCCCCACTGCCGTGTGACGGCCTGGGGCGCGCCTCAGGCTCCGGGCACAGCGCCCAGCTGAGCGCCGCCAGCCCGCCTTCCTCACGGCACAGTGAAAAAACGGAGCATTAAAAAGAAAAAATAACGATGTTTATTAAGAGCGAGTCCCGGCAGGGCCCGCCCGCTCTGCCGGGCCCGCCCGACGACTAACGGTGTCCTGCCCCAACCTCCGCCCCGGGGAGCGGCCGCGCTGCCACGGGGACACGGGGCAGGCCGGGGCCGGCGGTGCCACCCGGGGATCCCGGCGGAGCGAGCGCTTCCAGCTGCGGCCGGCCCTGAGCCCTTTCGGTGCGCGGCGAGCCGGGAGCGGCCGGTGCGGGAGGACCGTGTGGCTGCGGCAGGCGCGGCCCCGCGGTGACAGCCCCGGCGAGCACCATGCTGCCCACCCGGTAAGGCGCGTCCTCCGGCGCGGGTGGGGAATGGCGGCCGGGGGAGATGGTGCTCCCGGCGGACCCGGGCCTGGGCCTGGGCCTGGGCAAGGAGGCCGTGCCCCGACCCTCGCTCCGCGGCCGGGCCACGCTCCGCCATGAGGGGCTGGGGCGCGGCCAGGGCGGGGCACCCCGAAACTTGAGCAGCGCCGCGGGCAGCGCGGCCTCGGGCGCGGCGCCTGGGCCGGGCTGGGGCAGCGGGCGGGCGTGAAGGGGCCCTGCGGGCTGCGGCTGTGCCGGGAGGGCGTTTGTTGGCCCTGCCGTGACACGCCGAGCCCAAGGGCTGCAGCACTCACAGAGGCGTTTCACATCGCCATCCACGTCATTCCTGTGCATACGGGACTCCGCTGCCTTCGGAGTTTTTTTTGGTTGTTTTTTTTTTTTTTTTTTTGTGTGTGTGTGTGTGTGTGTGTTTGTGCTCCCGTTTACTCTTTTAAGTCCTCCATGAGGACTTAACATCTGCAGACAGTGAAGGCTTTTGTGTACATGATACATATGTGTAGATAGTGTAGATTTGCATGAAGGGGAGAGAGAGAGAGATGTGTAAATGGCCTTGCTTTTATGTTGGTGCCTGAGGACCTGCCACCTTTCCTTTTTTGAGGTGGAACCTCAGTCCCAAAGGAAGAAAGGACCAGCAATCCGTATTCCTTGTCAGGATGATGCTCTGAACTGTCACGAGGGGATTTACACAACCTCTGTGTGTTTTTGTGTTAGCACAGTTATGCTTGCCTAGAAGAGTAGTGCTGGCTAGTTACCTTGTAGAAAGAACACTTAGTGAATTGTGGGTGGATTACATTCTCTGAAGGGTTTCACGGTTGTTCCTTCTTGCTTAATGGCTAAGAGGTTTATATCCTGCACTTTAGGCTTTTTTGAATTGCTGCAGCACTAAGCCATGGAGGAGAAAACCAGGCTTAGCTGAATGGAACTGCTTGTGGTACCTCGTGAAATCTTTTTTGGTATATTCCTCCTTCCACTGCTATGCACACCAGCCAAGTGCAGGAGAAGTATATGTTTAGGGTCATGGATGATTTCCTGGAGGCACATGGACCCCATCTGTGTTAAGATGCTACAGGGTAGAAGCTGGTGTTGAGTCTAAGTTGGTTGTCTTGGGGCATCTGAGTAGTCAGTGAAGAAAACAATTACTGCCAGTGAAGCATTCTTCTTTCTCGTTTATAGATAACAAAAGGTATCAGTTGGAATTTCAACTGTCTTGGAACTGTTGCACTGATAGTATCTAGTTCTAAAAATCAAGCTGAAAATAAGGACTGGTGTTTCTGAAACCACCAGAATAATTCCAAAATTAAATCCTAAATTCTTTTTGTGGGATTATTTTTAATGATACTAAATTCTTCTGCTCTGCCTATAGGTTGTGCATCATGAGGAAGCTTCCTTCTGTTCTGGCTAGGACACTCACTTTTGGGACCAGTGCCTCCCCAGGGCTTCCTGACATGTCTGAAGGTAAGGTAGATGGCTGTGCTCTGGAAGATTTCATGATGTTACTGAGGAGTTTATTTTTCCAGGTGATGTCCCTCCATGTATTAGTATGGTTTGGATAATGAATGTGCCCTGCCCTTGTCTGTTAGCTCATAGTAGTAGTGTTCAGGAAGCAGCAGACAATCACTGGATGTTTGGAGGTGGATGGCACAAATATCCATAATCATTGAAACTGCAGATTTAGAGGCTCCTCTGGTTCTTCAGCCTTGGCAGAGCTTGGTTCTTTTCTGATAGCATAACTGCTGCTCAGCTTGGGTCTTGATAGAAAGCCCATGTAGTGCAGATAGGTACAATGAGACTGGAGAGAATGGCCAAGAAATAGGGAACTGAGGGGAAATAATGCTGTACAGAACTTTTAATCCATCAATCCTGTCAATTTCACAAACTTGTAGAAATCCTTAAATCGGATCAGCAGCATTGCCTCATGAAATTGCTCTTGTCAATAGAGCTTTGTATTGAAAGGTTGTTTCAGTGCTCCAATAGTAATAAACCATAATGCTCCTGTTTCAGAAGCTTTAAAAAAGATTTTCTTGCATTCCAATCCCTTGTACTTTGAAAAGGGCAGGAGGAAAAAGGCTGGAGCCACTTACAAGTAATTCCTTCATGGAGTTCTGCTTATTTCTGAGATCTTCTTTTTTCCTTTGTTTTCTAAACAGAAGACACCAACAGTTACTGGTTATCCAATAAAAGAGAAAATGAGGGTTATTTGTTGTTAGAGAACTTATTTTCATTGTTGTTAATAAATGGCAATTTAGGAGGTTAAAGGAGTGAAGCAAAGATACATGATGTTGCATACTTGCAGCTTGCCCTGAGTGTTTATTTGAAGATTTGGAAATGATGACATCTAGAAGGCCAGCAAAAACAGTGAAACAGTGAGGCCATCCTGGTACTCCAAGGGGTACTAATATTTTGTGGACTACAATAACTGTAAATATTTGAGATTCTGTTTCAAAATTGTTCAAATTCAAAGTTTTGCTGATATGTAAACTATTCTAGTATTGTGTAAACTATACCTTCAATTTGATATCCATGCTTTCACAAAACACCAAAGACTTTTTCTTACTTGTTTTTCACATGCTTCCTTTTCACAATTTTGGGTTCCCATTGTGAATGCCCTCACTTCTTCCATGGCTTTCCCAAAGGATACACAAAGCAGGACTTTGGAATTTTCCTCTGAAAAAACTCTCATCCCACTTCCTGAAAAATGCTACAGATAGTCTTTCCAAAGTTAACACTGTTTGTCAACAGTACATGGTAGCCCTGAGTTTGAAGAATTGTTTGGGGATACACTGCAAGCAGATGTCACACAGACTCAGACAGAGAACTGGAAAACTGGCTTGAAAGGAAAGCACAAACTGAGTTGAAAACAAAAGGACACTGACTGTAAATCAGGCAAGGATAGATTGCCTGCAGTTACTAAAATTAAGGAACATCTGCCTAAGCAGAACAGAAGCAGGTAGAATAATCAGGTAACTCCTTAGTAGGTGTAAATTGCATTGTTTCTTTTCACTGTTAATCTAA